TACTCCTTTTACCTGTAGTTGAGCTTGAAGCATATTACACCACCCTCCTCCTTTCCCTCTGTTTGGGGTGTGGCTCTCCCTATGCTAGACTCAGGAAATGCTCCTAGGGCATGGACCTCCCCACTACTCCTCACTTATATGCAAATCTCCTGGGAAGCTCCACCTTTTAGGGAGGAGCTTCAAATACAGTGCTATTGCCAAAAGCACTATTTTGTGAATAGTGCTTCACTAAGGGGTGAAGTCACATCCTTGAAGGCTGGAGTGTTTGAAGACGAGAATGTGTTCAGTAGTTCAGGCTAAAAGAAATGCATTAAAGAAAAAAGTGCTTAGGAGTCAGAAGCATACTGGGTTTCCAAAAGAACAGACACCAACTCTTTAGGCAGCTATCTATTCAATACCATTAAGTTTAGATTATGCCCTCAGAAAAAAAAAATGCAGGAGATATGAATGAGATCATTAGACTGGTTAGACAAATGTGGACAGCTAGTATGTGCTGTATAATGAGATTATCTATACCACAAAGCCTCTACTGTCACAGTGAGTGCTGAACCCCCCTAAATAAGAGCATAGAAGGATGTCAATAGCAATGTACCATGTCACCTTCCCAAACACTGCCAACTAAGCTGACAAAAGCATTTTTCCATCAGCAAAGCTACATCAACACCAGGTTTTTGACCCATACAAATTTCTATACTCCCAACCAACACAGCTAAGCCGGCTACAATACTGCAGCTTTGGTTGGGCACCTAAAGGCTTTGGCGTCACTCTTTTGGAGCAGCTGCAAAAACCAATGGTGCAACGTGAGCAAAAGCAAACACTGATACCTGCTTTGCACAAGGGTGGGCGAAAGAGGAATGGTGTTTTCTTGAGGAACAGACCCCTTCTGCATATTGTGCTAAAGCAGCAGCACAAAATGGATCAATGTTTGTACCAAGTCAACTATGGGGTCATTATGCCTTCTTTAAAAGTTGATTTCCATTGGGACAACCAATGTAATGGATGCAGCACCATTGCTATCCAGGTTCACCCACCCCTTCATAGAGATTTCCATGTCCATTGCTGGGGGCCTGTATGGCTGCAATACCACCAATACTTGAAATAAAGCACATTTCAAGTTTCAAATGTCAAAGTTTGGTTTAAAACATGGCCATTTTCCCCGCCCCCCGGACTTGAGTGTAGTGAGCAAACCAGACTCCCTGCGCAGCTGGATTTAAATAGGGGGGCCACACGTGGCCTGCAAATGTGCCAAACAAGTGTAGGGTTTCGTTGTGTGCATTTGGTTTGACTTCCAAGCAGTGTTGCCAGGTCTTAAATATGAAATGATCGTATTGGAAGCTCAAAATTATCGTATTTGCTAGCCAACGCTCGTACACCGAAATATATGCAAATCAATATGCAAGTAAGTCTTTACTTTATATTGCTCACTGTATGCCAGTGAAGTGAGAACTGGGCCCTCAAAATTGAAGCATTTCTTTATTTTGAGGTGAGCCATCATAAGGAAGTGCTGACAGCAAACCCAAAAATTAGGCAAGACTCCCCGAGAATCACTTTTCCATTTGCAGCATCAATGAGCTACCTCAAAAATCATCCAAATGCAAAACTCTAAAAACTCTTGGTTCAGAGAGGACACCTTTTATTAAACCAACTGAGAAATTACAAAAAAAAAAAACAACTATTTTACCAAAGACATCCCTCAAGAATTATTTTGTATTGTGATAAATACAAATAGAAATAATTTGCATTGATACGTAAATACAAATAATTTGCATTTATACAAATTGATACAAATGCAAATAATTTATATTTTAGTAAATACAAATCATTTGTATTGTGATATCAGTACAAATGATTTGTATTTGTATTCATCACAATACAAATGATTTGTATTTAAGCAACTACAAATAATTTGTAGATAAATACAAATCATTTGTATTGTGATAAATAGCAATACAAATTATTTGTATTTACTTAAGCAAATGCAAATCAATACTTTGCATTGATAAGTAAATACAAATAATTTGTATTGCTACAAATACAAATTTATACAAATGCAAATAATTTGCATTTATAAGTAAATGCAAATAATTTGTCTTGTGATAAATACAAATCATTTCCATTTATAAATACAAATAATTGATATTTATACAAATACAAATGTATACAACTGCACATAATTTGTCTTGTGCTAAATGCAAATAGAAATAATTTGCATTTATAAAGTCTACAACTTTATCATTATTTGAACGTTTTGACTATTATTAACGTACAAGGGTGCAACGATGGCACAAACACATGCTCAACCCCTGTTGGCCACACTGGGCCTGAGTGCAGCTAAGAGCCAGGCAGCAGCGCATGCGCATTGCCTGCCTCTTGTTTCTCCCCCCCCTTGAGTTCTCCTTTGAGCCTACTCTCGCCTCACTCTCTATGATCCCTAAAGTGTCCGCTCTGCCCTTCCCCCGTGTCACCTCGATGGTAAAGACCCACATCCGGTTACGAGTTTCCTCTTCCCGGTGTGGTGGGCGGGCGCCCCTGCGCTCTGATTGGCGGAGCGGGCCGTTCTCGCGAGACTTGCCGCTGGCGGCCCGGCTGAGGCGGCGGAGCGGGTGGGAGCCGTGTGCGTTGGAGCCGGCGGCGCGGCCTGCTCGGTAAGATGGCGGTGGGGGCGCCGGGGGGAGGAGCGCGGCCGGCGGGGAGCCCCCCCACGTCCCTCAGCCAGGCCTTGGGGCAGCGCGGGCACGGCCCAGGGAGGCTCCCACAGGAGCCCGGGTGCACGGGGGGGAGCTGCAGGGCACCGGCCTTCTCCGGCGGGTTCATCCGTCCATCCGCCCGCACGGCAGGAGCGTTTCGGGGTGCTGGTGCTCGCCCAGAGACCGAGGTTGCTCGGGTAAAGGCGATCTCCTCTATTAAACCAACGAGATCCTTGGGAAAATTGCTCTGCGCGAGCTTTCGGGGGGTGCCCGTGCCCAAAAGCTCGCAAAGAACAACTTTCCAACTCTTGCTTTTTTTTTTAATAAGATATCGCACCTAAATAGTTGGAAAAAATTATTCAGCGCAAGCTTTTGGGTGCAAACACCCCTCTTCAAGCATAGAAATACACCAACAGACCCTACCTCTGCTTGAAAAAGCACGTTTGTGCCCGACAGCTCGCAAAGAACAGTTTTTCCGACTATTTAGTTGGTCTGATAAAAGAGATCGCAACTAAATCGTTGGAAATAAATGTTCTTTGCAAGCGTTCGGGGGGTGCTTGTGCCTGAAAGCTTGCAAAGAATATCTTTTCCGACTAGATGGTCTGATAAAAGAGATCGCAACTGAATAGTTGGAAAAAATGTTCTTTGCAAGCTTTTGGGGGGTGCTTGTCCCTGAAAGCTTGCAAAGAATATCTTTTCCGACTAGATGGTCTGATAAAAGAGATCGCAACTGAATAGGTGGGGAAAAAAGTATCCTTTGCAAGCTTTCGGGGGGTGCTTGTGCGCAAAAGCTTGTAAAGAACAACTTTCCAACTATTTAGCTATCTTTTATTAGACACCGCAATTAAATAGTTGGAAAAATTGTTCTGTGCAAGCTTTTGGGTACAGGCATCCTTCTTGAAGCATAGGGTGGTGAGTTTGTTAGTGCCCTTATCCTTGAAGAAGGGTACTGGTGCCTGCAAGCTTCCAATATTCAGTTTTTTCCAGCTATTTAGTTGTCTAATCAAAGAGATCACAACTAAACAGTTGGAAAAAATTGTTCGTTGCAAGCTTTCAGGGGTGTTTGTGCCCCAAATTTTGGAAAGAATAATTTTCCAACTATTTAGTTGGTCTAATAAAAGAGATCATAAATAAGTAGGTGGGAAGATTGTTCTTTGCAAGTTTTCGGGGATGTTTGTACCCAAAATTTTGAAAAGAACAACTTTCCTGTGTATTTAGTTGTCTAATAAAAGATATGATTTTTCATTTCTACCTAGGAGAACTTTTATCATCTTTGCAATTGCCTGTGTCCGAAACTTGTGAATAAATAATTTTTTTTTTTTTTGCAAATATCTAGTTGGTCTAATAAAACATATCGCCTTTGCCATGAGTTTTGCTTCCTCATATAAGGTAACATATTTACCCAAAGAGCCTTGTCATCACACGATTGTGGCTTTTGTGTTTACTTGGTAGACCCCTTGGGAAGCAGGTAGTTTAAAAGTCAGCTTCAGTTCAGCGCTCTGGCGCGTTAGTGACTGTGTCAAATAATTCGCTCGTGATCAAGAATAAGTGCGTTTCAGCCTCAGATCTGTAACTTTTTTTTCTGAGCCATTGCTCTTTATTAGTAACAGGTGTTCTTGAAGGCATGTGAAAGTCTGTGCCTTGCACGTGTTTGTACCAAAATGCTTTTCCTTTCCTTTCCTTACAGTGAGAGTTCAGAATGAGCTATGCAGAAAAACCTGATGAAATCACAAAAGATGAATGGATGGAAAAACTCAATAATTTGCACATCCAGAGAGCAGATATGAACCGCCTTATCATGAACTACCTTGTTACAGGTAATGGTGAACAGAGGGTATTACATTTAGGAGGGTGGACTCTTCTGGAGTGTAATAAAAGATATGATTTTTCATTTCTACCTAGGAGAACTTTTATCATCTTTGCAATTGCCTGTGTCCGAAACTTGTGAATAAATAATTTTTTTTTTTTTTTGCAAATATCTAGTTGGTCTAATAAAACATATCGCCTTTGCCATGAGTTTTGCTTCCTCATATAAGGTAACATATTTACCCAAAGAGCCTTGTCATCACACGATTGTGGCTTTTGTGTTTACTTGGTAGACCCCTTGGGAAGCAGGTAGTTTAAAAGTCAGCTTCAGTTCAGCGCTCTGGCGCGTTAGTGACTGTGTCAAATAATTCGCTCGTGATCAAGAATAAGTGCGTTTCAGCCTCAGATCTGTAACTTTTTTTTCTGAGCCATTGCTCTTTATTAGTAACAGGTGTTCTTGAAGGCATGTGAAAGTCTGTGCCTTGCACGTGTTTGTACCAAAATGCTTTTCCTTTCCTTTCCTTACAGTGAGAGTTCAGAATGAGCTATGCAGAAAAACCTGATGAAATCACAAAAGATGAATGGATGGAAAAACTCAATAATTTGCACATCCAGAGAGCAGATATGAACCGCCTTATCATGAACTACCTTGTTACAGGTAATGGTGAACAGAGGGTATTACATTTAGGAGGGTGGACTCTTCTGGATCAGATCCTGTGCATCAAACATCATAAAAATGAATGAAGTTTTATTGAAATGTATTATTAATTGGGTGGCATTAATTGATATAGCAGACACCAGTATTTGATTTGGTTTCTCTTAGCAGTATATCAGTTTGCTAGTGTTCTTTTGAGCAAAAATAAAATGTGTTGGCTTTGGATATAATGTTGAGATCTCCCATCTCTTTTTAATTGTAATAATTTTATGTCTCTTATGGCCCTTCTGCTTTGGAATATGTCATTACCCCAAGTTGTATAGAGCTTAATATCACATTGCTTTTATAAAAATGGAAAATTTTGGTGTTCCCTACCAGTTTAGTTTGAATTGTGCCTTTCATCACAAAGCAAAAGAGACTACTGGAAACCAACTTTAGCTAACTTGACTGAACATAATTGCAAGAGGACACTGATCTCCTAAACATTTTTATCCTTATAAGCTTCTGTATCAAATTTGCCATCCAGACACTGAACTTTAAATTGAGAGGGACAAAATCCCCTCGCAATTTGGCGGTTATGACATGCAGTCTCTTGGCAAGCTGTACCAGGGTGGAGCCATTAACAGCCGGTCTACACCCATATTTATGTCCGTGTGCAACAGGAATCTGAGTGATAGGAAAACAATTAAATGTTCAGCCATGAATCACTTGTATGTGTGTGTAAGTCAGAGCTATATGGTTTTGAACAGGGTCTTTTTTTTTTTTCACTTCCCCACTGGTGAACAAGAAATTTGTGTAGTGTACAAACTAGAGTACACATTCTCTTGGTTTTTTAATATATGTTTACTAAGGATATTTAAATAAGTCAACGCCAACTTTTGCTAAGGTCTTTTCTGGCAAGGAATAACCAAGCTTACCTATGACTGCCATTCTGTTTTCAGATATGGGGTTAGCAGAAGCTTTCTGAAGACATTTTGGTTTGGTTTGGTTTAATTCTACCCTTCAACTCCTTAGAAATGACATAGAATTTAGGATGTAAAATGTGAAGTCTTTCAAAAAATACTATCTTAATTTCATTCTCTCTCAGATACCTAAAAGTTAATTTTTTTTTTAATCTCAGTTTTTTTTTTTACAAAAAATTCTTACTCGATTGAAAAGATTCCAAATAAAATTGGGGGCCTTTGTACATGTTTGAAAAAGTTGGTTTATTAGATTTTGGAGGTGAAATGTTTTTGTTACAGAGGGCTTTAAAGAGGCAGCAGAGAAGTTTCGAATGGAGTCTGGAATTGAGCCCAGTGTTGACCTAGAGACTCTGGATGAAAGGATAAAAATTCGAGAAATGATACTGAAAGGACAGATTCAAGAAGCCATTGCATTGATAAACAGTCTTCACCCAGAACTGCTGGATACAAACAGATACCTTTACTTTCATTTGCAGGTAAGACCCAGTGGCGAGCAAATGCTGAATTTGTTTTGTATCCGGAAAAGCCTGGAGGTGGTGAAGAAAAGTTGTAATTGCAAGAGCTTTCTAATACGCAGTGGGTTGCAGTGTTAAAAGTCTGTCTTCATACATTAACTGCAAGGGGAATTTTCTGGCATGGAGTGCAATCATGTTCAACTTAACCATGTTTTACAAACTCTCCAATTGCCAACGGTTAATCATGTTTCCTGGCAGCACTGTACACCAAAGTTTTCTTTGAAAAGGTTTCAGAAGATTCCAAAACTCTTCTGAAAAATAGGGCTAGCTTTACTATTACTTGTTGAACGAGGATGCAGTTGGAATTTCAATGCTCGGAAATACCACTTTTAAAAGTGTTGGTATATAATGCAGTAGTCCCTATACATTAAACACTTACCCAACAAGTACATAGAAAAATCTTGCTTTCTCTTTCACGTACAGCAGCAGCATTTGATTGAATTGATTCGGCAACGTGAGACAGAAGCAGCCTTGGAATTTGCCCAAACTCAGTTGGCAGAACAAGGAGAGGAAAGCAGAGAATGCCTGACAGAAATGGAGCGCACCCTGGCACTGCTGGCTTTTGATAATCCTGAAGAATCACCATTTGGAGACTTGCTCAACATGATGCAAAGGCAGAAGGTACAGTTGTCTCAGATGAGAAGCTCTTCCCATGTGTGTTCTCTGAGAGAGCTGGGATTTCAGATTTTGTACAAAGTACTTTTAAATGTAAAAACTTATACACAGAATAGAATTCTAGTGGCAAAACTTGTTATGATAGCAATATTTTTGAAATACTCCATATTACATTATTGTTTTGCCCCTCTCTTAATAGCAGAGTTTTTGTTTTACCTCTTAATTTTTGTCCACTGTAAATTTCAAAGTGTTGGAAACCATGCCATTATACAGCTCCCTTATTCAAAAGTAGGAGTGAATTTCCCTTTAACCGGCTTTCTAGTCTCTTGCAAATGCAAACCAAAACCACTTTGCTGTTTTATAAAATCCTTTGAGCTTGTTGATTCTGATCAGCTCCTTGACTTACTTCCTGATGCTGCTGCTGTCTCTAGAGTTTTTTGGGGTTTTTTATCTGGGACTTTTTTGTACAGTACTTGATTTGTGGGGGAGAGGTTTGGGGGGGGGGGGGGGGGGTTT